GTGAGGGGCTGGGGTGTGGCTCAGTGGTGGAGCCCCTGCCTAGAACCCCCCAGTGAGGGGCTGGGGTGTGGCTCAGTGGTGGAGCCCCTGCCTAGAATCCCCCAATGAGGGGCTGGGGCGTGGCTCAGTGGTAGAGCACTTGGAAGGTCCTGTGTTGGTACTGTACTCCAAGAAGAAAACAAAACCTCGCCGGGCGGTGGTAGCGCACGCCTTTAATCCCAGCACTCGGGAGGCAGAGCCAGGAGGATCTCTGTGAGTTCGAGGCCAGCCTGGGCTACCAAGTGAGCTCCAGGAAAGGCGCAAAGCTACGCAGAGAAACCCTGTCTCGAAAATCCAAAAAAAAAAAAAAAACCAAAAAAAAAAAAAAAAAAAAGAAGAAAACAAAACCTCAAGATGTGGTGGCACATGCTTAATCACAGTTCACCTGGGAGGCAGAGGCAGTTAGAGCTCTGTGAGTTCCAGTAAGTCCCTATCTAAAGGGGGGGGGGGGGATTAGATGAGGATTGACGTAGGCAATGTCAAATTAAAAGAAAGGAGAGCGAGCTCAACAGAAGCCCACTGCCCTTACTGCAGAAGTACAGACTGCCCAGGCACAGGGGGCTTGGGGTTTTAGAGGCAGAGGGAAGATGGAAATTTTTATCCATGTTTGTAGTCCAGGGCCAAGACATGCCAGCAGATGTTTTTATCATATGCTGACCTGGTCAGGTTTCTCCTGGCTCCTGACCGCAGATGTTCTCATTATTATGTAGACTTTCTTGTCAGGCAAGCTGCTCTTATCGGTATGTGCAGGGAGTTCCCTGTTGGTGTTTCTGCTCTTCTGGGAGCCCGACACCCAGCTCCCACTGTGTAGCTGGGTGGCTAGGTAGCTGACCCCTGAAGTCCTCCCTCCTTCCTCTCTTTCCTTCTACCGCCCAGATTTCTCCTTCTATATATTCTCTGCCTGCCAGCCCCATCCATCCTTTCTCCTGCCTCACCATTGGCCATTGAGTTCTTTATTAGACCATCAGATGTTTTACACAGGCCCGGTAACACAGTTTCACAGAGCTAAGCAAATTCAACATAAACAAAAGTAACACACGTTAAAATAATATTTTACCACAGTTCCTGGTGCTCCTAGCAGTATACACAGGGCATTTCTAAGCAGACGGAGGTTCTTTGTTTTAAATCACTGTCTTAGATCTTTAGATCATTGTTCTACTGCTCCGAAGAGACACCATGACCAAGTCAACTTACAAAAGAAAGCATTTAACTGGAAGCTTGCTTACAGTTTCAGAGGGTGAGTCCATGACCATCATGGCAGGGAGCAGACAGACATGATCAAATGAAAGCTTACATTTGATCCACAAGCAGGGGGCAGAGAGAGAGACACTAGGCCTAGAGTGGCCTTTGGAGACCTCAAAGCCCAGCTCCAGTGACGCACCTCCTCCAACAAGGCCACACCTCCTAATCCTTCCCAAATTGTTTCACCAACTGGGTACCACACATTCAAATATTCACACCACCGCAGTCATTAACTATTCACCGGGTGTAGTGGCACAAGCCTTTTATCCCAGCACTCAGGAGGCTGAGTCAGGTGGATCTCTGTGAGTTCCAGGCTAGTCTGTCTACATAGTGAGTGAGACCCTGTCTCAAAAAAATAAAAGAAAAAGCGAAGGATGAAACTGCTCACACTCCTGCACACCTTAAAAATAGCTTGGGTCTGTGTAGCCACACCTGCCTTAGCACCATCTAGTCAAGCACATGCTGCACAATACACACACTGCACAGCAATGCTCACATCCTTTTACAGATTCCCTTTCTCTCACGGTCACATTTTCATTTCAGGTAAACCATGCAGGGACAGAACAAGAGTAGATGTCTGTGGAGTCGCTGCCCAGAGACAGACTCCACAGCCCAGACCCAGAATCTCCCACCAGACCTGCACTGGGCAAAGTGGCCTCTCCTTGCTTAGCGAGATCCTCAACTCCCCTAAACTGAGCACACCCCAGGGCCAGGAGAGGAAAGGACTGCTCCAGACTGGAAAGCACCTGCCAGCCCCGGGCTACAGCAGGGACTGCATGGCCCCTTTGCTTCTCCATTACCAACAGAGAGAAGAAGCCTCCGGAGTCACAGAAAAGGGCTAAAGGACCAGAGAGCCGAGGAGGCAGGAACGGGGCTCAGGTGGATGAGACAGGGACGTGAGAAAGGACAGTTTAGAGAATGAGAAGGGACAGTTGGTGACGACGTTGAAGAGGGTGAAGAGGGGGTAATAACAGGAAGCTGGGTGGGGTAGGGAGGCAAAATAGGAGGTAAAGAGGGAGAGCTAGGAAGAGGCCTAACTGATAAAGGCTCCTGGGAGGAGACAAGATGCTAAGCCTTGAGGTGAGTATCCCTCCCTTCACTAAAAGGGTTTTTTTTTTTTTAGGGGGGCGGAGAAGCCAGAGTCCTGAGGCCACCATAGTGTGTGGGGGGGTACAAATGGGAAGGGGGTGAGTCAAGATGCAGAGTGCTTGGCTTCCAGAGGAAGCTTCAATGCTTCCACCCATCTGCAGACAGGGACCCTGGGGAGCAGAGCTGGCCCTCAGGATCTGGGAGACGGTGATCAGGGACCACTCAGGGCTCAATCCATCGGCTGACTGATCCCAAGTGCCAGGGACCGGTGTGCTCAGGATCAGTAAGGCATTTTTCTTTACTGAGGGCAGGGACACAGGACACTTAGTTAGGAGTCTGTTAGGAACCTCAGAGTAGAGGAAACGGTTGTTAAAATACAACAGATGGGGAGATGGATGCCACAAGATGCCCTCCCCGGCAGGAGGATGCCGAGTCCAAGGCTAGCTGCATGGTGAAAGACTTGGGAGGAGAAAAGAGAGACAGGAAGGAAGTGGGAGGGAGGGAAGAAAGAAGATGAAGGAAGAGTCGACCTAAGGATGTAAGAAAATCCGTAAGGGGATTTAAGGCGTGCACCACCACCACCCAACACACTTGTTGCTCTTTTAGAGGACCCAGGTTCAATTCCCAGCACCCACGTGGCAGCTCACAACTGTCTGTAACTCCAGTTCCCTCTTCCGGGTGCCCTCTTCTGGCCTCCTCAGGCACCAAACATGGAAATGGCACACAAACATCCGTGCAGGCAAAGTACCCATGCACATAAAATAGTAAGAAACCGTTTAAAGTAATAGGAAATAATTTAAAACATTTTTAGAGATCTGGAGAGATGGCTCAGTGGGTAGAGAGCCACCTGTCACCAAGTTTGGATACCTGAATTCCATCTCCAGGCTTCACATGATGGGAGGAGAGAACCAGCTCTTACTAGTTACCCCCTGGCCTCCCCATGTGTGCTTTGGCATGCGTACCGCCACAGATAATTAAGTGCAGTTTATTTGGGAAGGGAGCAGACGTGGTGTACGCCATTAATTCCAGAGCTTGGAAGACAGAGGCCAGGGGATCTATGCGAGCTGAGCCAGCCAGGGCTACACTGTGATATATGTGTGTGTGTGTGTGTGTGTGTGTGTGTGTGTGTGTGTGTGTGTGTGTGTGTATAATTTATATAATATATATAAATAACCCTGTCCAGCCAGGCATAGTGGCACATGCCTCTAATCCCACAGCTCATCATAAGCAAGCGGATCTGTTAGTTGCAGGCCGGCCTGGAAGGAGGAGGTAAAGGAGAGAGAGGGTCGCACACTTGCAGAAACATTCAGGATGGGGATTCGAACCCCCAAGTGCTGGGCGGCCCACCCCGTTCCCGCAGAAATGGGCGTGGCATCTCTAGCAATCCCTGTAAAGACTTAGGTCCTGCTCCCCCCCAGCCGCCTAGCGCCCAGGACCGCTGCTTGACGTCACTGGCGGGAGCGCCGGAAATGGGACGCAGACGAGCCACGCGGCGCCGGAAGTGGGCCGCACAGAGCGTGTGCAGTCGGCCTTCCGGCCTCGGAAGTGAGCGGTGCGCGCCGGAAGCAGCTTCCGCGGCCACCTCGTGGGGAAGCCGGCAGCATGGGGCAGTCGGGACGGGTGAGGCGCCTGGGCCGGGGCGGGCGTCGGGCGCGGGTGGGGTCGCGAGCGGGGCCCGGGCCCTCACCGCCCGCCTGTCGCCCCTGCAGTCCCGGCACCAGAAGCGCGCTCGCGCCCAGGCCCAGCTCCGCAACCTCGAGGCCTACGCCGCGCAGCCGCACTCGTTCGTGTTCACGCGAGGCCGGGCGGGTCGCAGCGTCCAGCAGCTCAGCCTGGATGTGCGGCGGGTCATGGAGCCGCTCACCGCCACCCGCCTGCAGGTCTGCATCCCCTCCTCCCCCGCCCTCCGAGCTCCGGTCCCGGGGTTCGCGGCTGCAGCGAGGAACCCCGGCGAGGTCTTGGGGCCAGGGGTTCGTGGTTCGATTCAGGGGCAGAGCGCCTGCCTTCCCTTGGGAGGCCCCGGCTGCGTCCCCAGCCCCGCTGGAAGTAGGCACGACGAGGTCCAGCCGAAATCGCAGCGCTGGGGAAGAGAAGGGAGGCGTACCTTAACCTTGTGTGTAAAAAATAAAGGGCCGGGGCCCCGGGGTCCCGGGGCGGGGCGCAGTCAAGAGCTGACTCCCCGGCAGAGGGGGCCTGCAGCTTAGCCCGAGGTCAATCCTCGCGACCCACATAGTGGAGGGTTCTCCAGCCCCTGAAGGTTGTCTTCTGACCTCCGCCTGTGCGCCCCTCCGAGACTGCACACAAAGTGGATACTTTTTAAAATTATGTTTGAGTGCTGGAGCTGGAGCCGAGGAATACAGTTAAGTCCCCAGCCCCCCCCCCCCCCGAAAGTTGGGGGATGGTCAGAAATACCACCTCAGAAGCCTCAGTTTAAGCTGCCTTGCTTAATAAAAAATACCTGCATCCATTTCTTTGTCTAATTATCAGGTGCGAAAGAAGAACTCCCTGAAGGACTGTGTGGCAGTGGCCGGCCCCCTCGGGGTCACGCACTTCCTCATCTTGAGCAAAACAGACAGCAGTGTGTACTTGGTGAGTGGGCGCCATGCCCTTCCCGCCCTCAGCCCCAGCCGCTCCTGCCTCATGATGAACGCACCGCCCTGAGCTCTCGTGATGCTGGCTTCAAAGTAAACGCTCTGAAGCGATGGAGCACAGCTTCCCCCTCGCCCTACCCCCTCGCCGGAACCCTCCTCCCTCACCCGTCCTTTCCCTGGCAGAAGCTGATGCGTCTCCCAGGAGGCCCCACTTTGACCTTCCAGATCAACAAGGTGAGGGGCAGAGGTGATAGGAGAGCCCGGCTTGCCTGGGGCGGGCCCTGGTCACACAGACGGTCCTCAGCTTCTCCCGCCCTCCCCTCAGTACACACTGGTACGGGACGTTGTCTCTTCCCTGCGCCGACACCGGATGCATGAGCAGCAGTTCAACCACCCGCCTCTCCTGGTGCTCAACAGCTTTGGCCCTCAGGGCATGCACATCAAGCTCATGGCCACCATGTTCCAGAACCTGTTCCCATCCATCAACGTGCACACGGTGGGCCAGCTCTCTTGGCAGCTGCTGGGGGTGGGCGGTTGGGTAGGGAGCAGGTATTGCAGGCCCATGTCATGTCCCCATGGTGTGGAGAGACTCATAGGTGTGAAGTGACTAACGTGATCTTAAATTCAAAGGCAGAGCTGGAGTTGGTGTGATTTTGTGAGGATCTCCTGTATCTCAGGCTGGCTTCCAACTTCCTGTGTGGCTGAGGCTGGACTTAAACTTCTGGCCCGCCATCTCTTGCATGCTCAGTACACCTGGCTTTAGGTGTTGGTGATCAGACTTGGGCTTTGTGAACCATAGGCAAGCACTCTGCCACCTGAGCCACATCTCTGCCCATTTTTCTTTAGACCAGGTCTTGTGTTAGCCCAGGCTGCCCTTAGACTTGTAATCGTTTTGCCTCCTCCACCCAGCCCAGCATGACTTGAGTTTCAGCTGCTAAGCCCTGGCCCCGTTGGTTCTCAGATTAGGCTCATTACAAGGTCCCACTTAGAAGAAGTCTGAAGGTTGGCTTTGGTGGCCAGCGCTCCAGTCAGTCTGTGGACACTGGTTGCAGCCCCTGCCGCCTGTGGGCATCCCTAGCACCTGTGCAGATACAGGCTGCTGAAGGGAGGCCCTGGCTTCAGCACTTAGAGCTCAGAGGCCCCCTCTCTGGCCCTCCAGGTGAACCTAAACACCATTAAGCGCTGCCTCCTCATCAACTACAACCCGGACTCCCAAGAGCTGGACTTCCGACACTAGTGAGTGGAGGTGGGAGGGACTCAAGGTGGGGTACCCCGTGCACCTGATGAGAGCTCTGCTGCTGAGACCCTGTGATTGCTCAGACTCAAAGTAAACGCCCTGATGCACGCCCAGAAGGGAGAGGGCAAGGAGCGGCCCCTGGACCCTGTGACCCTCCCCTCCTCCCTCTGCTCCTCCTGCAGCAGCATCAAAGTGGTGCCTGTGGGTGCAAGCCGCGGCATGAAGAAGCTCCTGCAGGAGAAGTTTCCCAACATGAGCCGACTGCAGGATATCAGTGAGCTGCTGGCCACGTGAGGAAGGCTCGGGGTGGGTGGCAGTGCAGCTCAGGGGTCCCAGAGCTGGCCTGTGGAGCACCCAAGGTAACCTGCTGTGCCACACAGGGGTGCGGGACTGTCAGAGAGTGAGGTGGAGCCAGATGGCGAGCACAATATCACCGAACTGCCCCAGGCTGTGGCTGGCCGCGGCAACATGCAAGCCCAGCAGAGTGCCATCCGACTGACAGAGGTGAGGGGCGGCTCACGGTGGCTCCCACGGCCACAGCCTTCAGTCAGGAGGCCAGCCTGATTGTCCCGTCCATGTATCTACAGATTGGGCCCCGGATGACACTGCAGCTCATTAAGATCCAGGAGGGTGTTGGGACCGGCAATGTCCTCTTCCACAGTTTTGGTAAGGGCACGGGTTGAGGCCGGTCTGAGAGCAGCGCTAGGTCCCGTTGTGGTCTTGACAGGTGTGCCTGGTCTTTGTTCCCAGTGCACAAGACTGAGGAGGAGCTGCAGGCCATCCTGGCCGCAAAGGAGGAGAAGCTGCGGCTCAAGGCACAGCGGCAGAACCAGCAGGCTGCGAACCTGGAGCGCAAGCGGGAGCTGCGTGAGGCCCACAAGTATGCCAGGGCAGTGGGCAGAGGGGTGGGCTCGCCATGAAAGCAAGCTCACCCACGGCACTCTGGTCCTCCAGGAAGAAGAGCCTGGCAGGCATGAAGCGAGCCCGTGCGGGGGCCGATGGTGACAGCGATGCTGAGGACCCCGGGCCACCCCCAGAGGCCGTGGGGGCAAGCCAGGTAGAGGAGGAGGAGGATGACGCCGAGTACTTCCGCCAAGCTGTGGGCGAGGAGCCTGACGAGGGTGTGTGGCAGGGGCTGTGCTGGTGACCCCGGGGCCTTTATTTCTTGTTGAGGATGAGGACCTTGACCGTTTCTCTCCCTGCAGACATGTTTCCCAGAGTGGCCAAGCGGAGACGCCAGGGGGGACCTCCAGGCAAGAGGCGGGGAGGAAAGGTGCAGAGGCCTGGCTCAGGCCGGGGAAAGGGTGGCAACTGGCGGCCGCCAAAGCCGAAGGGTAGACCCCAAGGAGTCAAGATCAAGCCGGGACCCAGAGCCGCACGCCAGGACCCGGGTCGGCCATCAAGGAGAGGAACCTGAGCCTGGTTGGCAGTGGATGGACCACAGATGCCCCAGATTGGGGCCCGGGAGCTGCCCTGGCTTCCAGTGCGGCCCGGTTTCCTTTCATAAAGGAGCTACCCAGTTCTTACCTCCAATAAACCTGAATGTGGCACTCTGAGTCTGCTCTCTGGCTGGGGCGGGGACGGGGCTAACAGTACTTAGTTGTGACAGGCCAAGAGACAGACAAGCCCAGCCCTGATGGAACAAGAAGGAAGTGGGCTAGGTGGGAGGTGTCACCCTGACTGGCTGTGCAAGTTGAGATGGGCTGGTGGCCACACTGCTGGGAACCCAGGAGGTACTTTGTGTAACCCAGAGCTCCTGTGAGGACCATGGCTGCCCGCTCAGGTAAGCTAGCCCTCAGCCAGTTAAGAGATGGGACACGTGCCTTGTGGGGCTGACTGGTACCTCGCCAGATCCCAGCTCAGAGGGATGTCTCTTAAGGATCGGGAGGGTTCTGCAGACTGCCGAGTTTGGGGTGGCCAGGTCAGAGGCGGTCTGCACTGCATGTGGAACTTCGAAGAGGCCACCTGGTCGGTGAGAAGGGCATAGTGTGTGTGGGAACACAGAAGGCTCTGAGATTGGGGGTTGGGTTGTTGGGAAATGGTAAGGTGACCCCTGGCTGGTATCTGGGGTGCCCTCTGGTTTAACCTGGTGCTGGCAGGAGGGCGGTGTGGCGGGGAACTACTCTGGATGCTGACTACAGGCTCTGTGCAGACTCATCACAGGGTCTTGTGCTGTTCCAGCTGGTTTCAAAACCAGACTGACCCTGGCCCATTCCACCTGAGGATAGGCTGGTCCCCTTACAGGCAGTGATAAGGCCCTGCCAGGTTGCATTGGCATGCAGGCCTCCACCTGCTCACCACTGGCAGGACCTGGTATGCATGCAAATGCAGGAGGCAGGCTGAGGCAGGCTGTGGCTCAGTCGGTTACTCTGCCCACAGGTACCGAGCTCTCCTGCCCAGAAAATTTTATGGAGGCTGCTGATCGGGAATACAGGCACTTTCAGGAGGGCTACCTCTGGGCCATCCTGATCGCAGAGTTCCTGGTGTCAGCAGGGGGCAATGGCCTGGCCCTGTACCGCTTTATCACCCAAGAGCAGAGGCCCTGGCACCCAGCTGTGGTCTTCTCTGCACAGCTGGCAGTCAGCAACCTGTGCTATGCACTCACACTGCCGCCTCTGGCCGCCTACTTCTACCCCCCCAAAAACTGGAGCTTCGGGGAGGCGGCCTGCCGCCTGGAGCGCTTCGTCTCCACCTGCAACCTGCTGGGGGGCATCATCTTCATCTCCTGCATCAGCCTCAGCAGATACATGGCGGTGGTGCATCCTTTCTTTACTCGGAAACACCTGCGGCCCAAGCACGCCTGGGCCGTCAGTGTCGCCTGCTGGGCCTTGGCCATTCTCATGGCTGCCCCCATGCTCAGCTTCTCCCACCAGAACAAGCCCCAGCAAGGCCCTGGGACATGCAGTACGATGAATCCGAAGGCCTGTGTCAAGTGCCTGGGGGTGCTGAAAGGCCAGCTAGGAACCTTCAGAACCTACAGCCTGGTGCTGGCGTGCCTGGGTGGCATCCTGCCTCTGCTGCTCACACTCATGGCCTACATCTCCCTGGGGTTGGTGGTGCTGCGCAGCCAGGGCATGAGCACAGCCCAGAAGGTTCATGTGGTAGTGCTGGTGACCAGTGGTGTGGCTCTGTACGCCTGCTCCTATGCGCCCTACCACATCACACAAATGCTCCATGTGGATGCCAAGTTGCGCTGGATGGCTCGCTGCCCCAGCTTCACCAATGAGACAGAGGCTGCAGAGGCGGTCCACCTGGGGGCCTTCTTTGGCTACCAGGCCACACGCATACTCGTGCCCCTGGCCACGTGCATGCACCCCCTGCTCTACATGGCCGTGGCACCCAGCCTGCGCTGCCACCCATGCCGCCGAAACCCTCACCAGGACCTGCCTCTAGCAGGTCCAACCGCTCCCCAAAGCCAGCTGAGCCCATGACCTGATCTAGCCGAAGCCGCCTCACCACAGCTGGGTTGTGACAGCAGCCCTTTAGTGCCAAGGATCCCCCAGCTAGCCCTCACCAGGGGAGGCTGCCTGCCACCCAGGCAGGTCCCTTACAAGACCTCAGCCTGGGGGAGGGGCCAGCTCCACCCCTTCTTCCTGGTCCCCCCCACACAACAAGGGAGACCATGAGAACAAGCAAGACATAAGTGTGTTTGGAGTCTGTTTAATGGAAGCTTTCTGTCCCTGAGGGTCTGGGGGACAGCAGCAGGCAGCAGGTGTCTTTTTAGTTCGTTGATGGCCTGGAAAGAGGGAGGAGGCAGGTGGTAAGAATGCGGGTGGGGACTTGTGACCCTAAAGAGTACCTGAGACTTGACACACACACCAGGGAAGCCCAGCCCTCGCCTGCTCAGGAACAGTGGCATCAAGTCTGGCAGTTTTTCCCAGAGCA